GGATGATGGATGGATGGATGGATGGATGATGGATGGATGGATGGATGGATGGATGATGGATGGATGGATGGATGGATGATGGATGGATGGATGGATGGATGGGTGGATGGATGATGGATGGATGGATGGATGGATGGATGATGGATGGATGGATGGATGATGGATGGATAGATGGATGGATGATGGATGGATGGATGGATGGATGGATGGATGGATGGATGATGGATGGATGATGGATGGATGATGGATGGATGGATGATGGATGGATAGATGGATGGATGGGTGATGGATGGATGGATGATGGATGGATAGATGATGGATGGATGGATGGATGGATGGATGGATGGATGGATGATGGATGGATGGATGGATGGATGGATGGATGGATGATGGATGGATGATGGATGGATGGATGATGGATGAATGGATGGATGGATGGATGGATGATGGATGGATAGATGGGTGGGTAGGTGGGTGGATTGGTTGATGGGTAGATGGCTGGATGGATAGATGGGTGGATGGATAGACAGGTAGATGGATGGGTGGGTGAATGATTGGTGTTCAGGTAGATGCAGAATGAATGAATGAATGGATGATGCTCCTGGTAGAAGCAGAGTGTGTGAGCGAATGAGTGGACAGAAAGAAGGAGGAGTAGGAATTCTGTCCCTGCCCCTTCCTGGTGGCCACTGGTGGCCAGGTGCCCGATCTGACCCCTGACCCCTGCTTCTTTTACAGTTTAAGTGTCCAGCCCCCTCTTTGCTGAGGAGCTCACCCCTCTCTGAGCCTGCATGATTCCCACACTATGTAAGAGTGGGTTTGTGCCCTAACCTGGCCAATCATGGGTCCCCAATCACCCTATCCACAGAGAATGGTCCAATGGGGATCAGGTGAGCCCAGGAGGGCCAATCAGAACCCTTGGAGTGCTGGGAGGGGGAGAGTGTCTCTGCTTTGGGCTCTTGAGAGGCTCTGCTGACGGCCCTTCAGGTCTCTCTTTGCTCTGCTCTGTAAACAGGAAGGTCCAGGATGGCCAGTGACCTGCTTTCCTGCCACCCTGAGCAAGTTGTGTTCATCATGAGACAGCTAAATCTGTGGCCAAGGGAGACAAAGAACCAGAGATACAACACACACACTTCTCAGTTCCTTCCCAGGCTAGGGGCCGAAGACCAGGCTATGATGCCAACACTGGCGTCATGTGAAAACAGAGGATGGCCATGCCAGATCACAGAATGGAGGGTGACCACACCGTCCCATAACTTCCAAACCACACCTTTGTATAACTGCCAAATTCCATCATTACGTAGACACCAAATGATATCATTGCTGAACCACCAAATCACACTATCCCATAACTGCCAGATCACATGATTCCATAACTGTCATCATTGCACGATGACCAAATGATATCATCACTTAACTCCCCAATGACACCATTGTATAACCACCAAATTCCATCATTACATAACTTCCAAGTCACATCACTGAACGACTAACAAATGACATCATTCTATATCGGTCAAATGACATCATTGCACAACTGCCAGATGTCATCATTGCATGACTACCAAATGACATCATTGTGTAACTGCCAAATGACATCATTGTGTAACTGCCAAATGACATCATTGTGTAACTGCCAAATGACATCTGTCCATAATTTCTAAATGACATCATTATGCAACTACCAAATGACATAATTCCATAACTGTGAAATGCCTTCATTACATGACTTCCAATCAAGTTAACACACAACCTTAACCATCACAGCCAACGTAACTGTCACCTCACACCTTGGACAGACGTAAGGAGAGGAGACTTTTTGCTATTGTCGTTAATGTTGGGGAATGAGATCAGGGCTAAATAAGGAGAGGTGTATCTGGAAGAGGAAGAACAAGCAGTGACAACCACATAAGCACCTTGATCCAACCATGCCTGAAGCCGACTTGGAATTCCTACTTGCCAAAGCCAACACATTTCCACACTGACCTCTGCGTGCTCCTCTGAGTCTTGCTTCTTTCACGCACAACCACTTCAGAGGCACAAGTGACTTACATTTTCTGTGCCAAGCAAGGTGCCGGGTGTCAGACTACCCTGGATCCTCAACACTCGGGGTCTCCAGAGGCTTGGCTGACGGCCCTCCAGGTCTCTCAGGATCCGGGTGGCTCACGTTGCCTAACAAAGTCGCCCACCATCTGGGATTCTGGTGTGAGTTGTGGCTGGACACGGGATTCCCTTGGTGTCTCCATCCTCTAAGGGTTTTCTCCTCACCACAACATGGATCCAGAGGCTGCCTTTGAAGTCCAAATCACCCGCTGCCCACACTGAGAGTCCAGCCACCCATGCATGTCCACCCCACGCCCTGGAGAAGTCTCTGCTAAAGTCCTTAGCTCCCTGTACTCCATCCATGAAACCCAGGTTGTAATAAGTCTGTCTGCCTCGTTGGGTTCTCAAAATTCCAACACACACTCAACATTCAGCTGATGTCTACGATTGTTTGTAAAAAAAAACAGAGTGTATGTGTTGTTGGAAGCAAGACTGATGATCTGCTCTGTAAACCTTCACCCAATTCACAACAAACAGTCAAAATGAAAACAAAAACATCCGGAAAACAAAAGACTGCCAGACAAATGAACCAATTTAACCTGGGAAAAGTGCAGACAGAATGTTCCTTAGAGACCAGGATGGTGACACCTGGTCTCTTATACTTAGGACAAATATATTGTCAGAAAGAAGCAATCCCTGGAGAAGTACATCGTTCTTGGAACAGTGGAAGGTCAGAGAAACAGAAGACGCCCAACAAGATGGATTTTCACAGTAGCAGCAGCAATGGGCTCAACTATAACAATTGTGAGGATGAAGCAGGCTCGACCGTGGTTCCTTGTGTTGTTCATGAAACGGAATCAACTT